GTCGCGCGACCGGTCGCTCGTGAGAAGGGTCCGCGACCAGTCGCGCGACCGGTCGTGGACTATGAAAGATGCCAATGAAAATATCGCAGAATCAAGAGACGGTCACCATTCAGTCGAAACAGCCTACCAGCCAATAAAAACGAAAAACAATGCAAATATAGGCTGGCGCAAGATGCAACGCTTAGACGGCGTATCTGTTCACACACGGATAACGCATTCAAGACACACAGTTTACTAGTTCCCTGGATAAGGAAGCACCTCGACATTCCATTGGTAACCACCCGTGGAGCGCTTATTCACTGACTGTATGCATTTGAAGGCAATAACTTTTTAGCAGAAAAAAAATGCAATCATCTATGAAACCTTACCTTAGTCCTTATGTGATCAGCTATCTCACGTAATTTATTTATCGTATCAACTACGAACATAGGCTTAGCACAATCTTCACCTTCGCAGTAGGTGGTGTGAATCCAGTCAATAAACTCTTCTTTCTTCTTGACTCTATTAATTAAGGCCTCAAAGAGCTTATATGCCTCTTTGAGATGTAATTCCTCTTCAGGCATTGATATCTGAAAAAAAGCCGTTCGAGCAGAAGCTTTGTCCATCAGAATGATGGATCCTACTGCCAATACTCGAAGAAGTCCACTTCAAGGGGCATCTCTGACAGTGACAATGACGGTACTTTCTTTCAGATCATAGCTGAGCATTATATCAAGGATAGTACCAGTAGAAAATAATTTACATTTATTCGAGAGGTAATGTTCAGTATATTACTAGATATGACAATCTCTAAATACATTCAATACGATTGGTCTAGACAAATCGAAGAAATAATTTTCAACAGTTGTTCAAACGATTCCCCTTTCGAGCATTACAGTGAGGGTACAGGGTACAATAATAGGATACATCACAACGACATCCATTATTACTTGCTACTTCATCCTAGGAAAAAAACGACCCCATCAAAACAAAACACTCATTACTCCATCATAAAATTGCTTATGTTTCACAAATAACTCGTATGGCGTAGTTATTGGGTGAATGAATCAACAATATCACAGGTCAAACAGGCAGGCAATAATTTAACAAAGTAACAAAAACTGTGCCTACAATATCATTCAAAATGAGGGCGCTGCTTCTCGAGTTGACGAGGGCCGTACACGTCTTCGTGAGTCCTCCATTGCCGTCCAAATACAGGCAGTATACAAGATGCCGCGAGCACAATTCCTCCTTAACAGGAAATGATAATTTTTTAAATGGTTCTAGGACCACATCGAGAAGTCATCATTAACTAATGGAATTTTGTTCTACAAACGTTATATTGATGACGTATTCATTATCGGAACGACGGAAGAAGACCTTGTGGAAACATTGGAGAGACTTAACCCTCACGATGCTAACATAACCTTCACCGCTAAGATCTGGGGAGGAATGGATTCCTTCCATTCCTCGATGCGAAGACACGAATTAGTGAAGGTCATAAGGAACACCTATGGTACAGAAAAAGTGCCTCGTCGAACATCTTGTTGCATTCTAGAAGCGCACATCCTATTTATATGAAGACAAACGTCGTGCGGAATCTTTTGAAAACGAAGGAGAAGCTTGGGATGCGAAGGGATTCAGTTGTTGATGCTAAAATTGAAAGTATCCTCGAAAGCAACGGATACTCCGAAGGCAATACAAGGACGTGGGTCCCGCACAGGACGGCTGATGGTGTAAGCCTCATTGTGCTTTTGTCAACGACATAATGGCACGTGAGGTAAACCGCGTCGTCAAAAACTCCCAGCTTCCCATTCGACTTGTTTT